CTCACTGACACTCCCCCCCGGGACAGAACCCCCCTCCTCTGTGCGGGGGGGGGTGAGATAACGGCCCGCTCTGCTCTGTCCCTCCTCAGCCCTGGAGGTGCTGGTGTACCTGGTCAACGACACGGCGGTCCAGCTGACCGTGGAGAGCCTGCCCTCGGTGTCCGCGCAGGATCTGGGGCGCACCGTGCGAGAGGCGCTCCAGCTCCCCGAAACCGCCCAGGACGCCTTTGCCTTCTGGCTCAGCTCGCCTCTGCTGGGTACTGCGTCTCGCTCCACACAGCCTCGCCGCTCCCCCTCTGACCCTTGTCTCTGACCGACAGCATGTGTGTGTGCAGCCGCTCATCCTGACCCCTGACCCCCGACCCTTGACCCCTGGGAATGTCTTTCACTGCTGTCCTTCTGCACGTGCTCTTCTTGATGACCGTGTGACGCCTTTCACGCGATCTGACTGCTTCTTCCTGGGCCAGTCGCTCTCGCTGTCCGACAGTGCGATTGCAGCCGCCTGCCCTGACCCCTGACCCCTGACCCCTGACCCCTGACCCCTGCTGCGTCTTTCCGCAGAGCTGCAGCTGAAACCGAAGCACCAGCCCTACAAGGTCTGCCGCCAGTGGCCGGATCTCCTGTACCGTTTCACCGAGGCTCCTGAGGAAGAGATCGCCCAAGGTGAGCCCTCCAGCCCTGCCACTGCTGTCAGCATGTTTCCAGCTCTTCAGAATAGTCAGAATTGGAAGTCATTTGGGGTGGCACGGGGACGCAGTGGTTCACATTACCTTTTAAGACGTGTGCACAGTCCCATGTTCAAAGGCTCATGCAGTCGAAGGTTTTTTTTTTCCTGTTCTCCGCGTCCTGGGTTCGATTCCAGACTTGGGGTGCTGTCTGTGTGGAGTTTGCATGTTCTCCCTGGGTTTGTGTGGGTTTCGGTCCACAATCCAAAGACATGCTGGTGGGTCAACGGGCTTCTGGGGAAACTGGCTCCGGTGTGAGTGTGTGTGTCCTGTGATGGACTGGTGTCACATCCAGGGTGTAGCCCGCCTTGCGCCCGTTGCTTGCTGGGATAGGGTCCAGCTCCCCCGCGACCTTGATAAATAGGGGCCGGATAAAGCAGTTGGAAAATGGGTGGATGGAACTTATCCTCTCCGGGATTAGGATCGCTTAAAGGGAAGACTCTAGTTGAGTTTATCCAAGGCACTGATGTTAGCACGCCTGCTCTTACAGATCTCGAACCACCAAGTAGAGCAAAACTGAGGTGCAGAGAAAAGTGCGCCCCCTGCTGGTCCACCACCATCCACCTTCTGGTTTTCCTTAAACGTCTCTCCCACTAGACCTGCCTGGTCTGTCTGTCTGTGTGTTCACTGTCGGCCCGTCTCTCTGAGCTGCAGTTCCTGAGCCCCTCTGCTCCTGTTGTCCCCCCAGATGAGCCCTGCCTGCAGTACAGGAGGAACGTGTTTTTCCCAAAGGCCAAGGAGCTGCAGGTCGGATCGCTTCTTCGGATCGCGTCACGCACACGCACAC